CCGGGGCTCAGCTTCTGCAGGGAGCCCTGGGCCCTTTAAATCGCTGGCTTGGGGAAACTGGTCCGGCTGGCACGGCATACCGGCTCTTGCGGACCGGACCGGCTTACTTTCACCTCTGCTGTTTTCAGATGTGAAGAGGAGGACACTTGACTCTTATTGTTCTGTATCTACTTCTGAATGTATGAGATCTGAGTTCCATTCCTAGCTCTGGACCACACTTACTCTGTGACTTTAGGTTAGACACTTAATCCCTCTGCTCCAGTTTTCCCACCTGTAAAACAGGGATATTGATAATTACCTACTTTTGTTTCATGAATGAGTGATATTCATCTCTGTGTAGAGTACCAGTATAAAGCCTATAGACTGCTTAAGACCTGTTTTCAGTGATTAAATGAGTTAAGTGGTGCATAGCCTTCGGCTAGCCATTTCACCTGAATTGTAATGAACTTAGTTACTCCTGAGGACATTCTGCACCTAAAAATTAAAAATTTGGCACACAATATTTCAAATTCGGCAAAATTCTGCCAGTTTTATTTGTCAATAAATAAATGCAGAGGCTCCACCATGGCAGTGGGGAACACAGACCACTGGCTGTATGAAAGTGGGAGATCACCCTGCAGCCTCCCCACCCCTGGGACACAGCCTCAGTGGTGAGGCTGCACCTGGCCCTGACATAGCACAAGGCCTGGACCTGCCCCAGAAACACCCTGGGACCCTGCCCCTCTGTTCCAGGCCCACCGGTATGAGGCGGGCAGGCAGGCTCAACCAGGCAGGATCCAAGTGTGGAGGGATCCAGGCGTGGTGTGAGAAGATTCTGTGTGGGACAATCTGGGTGCAGGCAGCTCAGTGGTGGGTCTAGGTGCAGTGGGGATCTGGATGCACAGAGGCTCATTCGGGGGAGTTCCAGATGCAGGGGCTTCCAGGTGAAAATGGTTGACGCTCAGCAGGGGGGTCTGGGTGCTGGGGGAGTGGGGCTTGGTGGGGTTGGCGTCTGGGTAAAGCTAGTTTGGGATCAGTGGTGTGTGGGTCTGGATGTGGGGGCTCATTGTGGTGCGTGGGGTGGGGCTCATCAGGGTGGGGGTTTGAGTGCAGGGAGTTCAGTGCGGGGTGATCTGTGTGCAGGGATGGGGGTCTAGAGGCAGGGGGTCTGGGTGCAGAGGACTCCAGATGCAGGGGTTGTAGTTCAATGGGGTGGGGTTCGGATATGGAAGGCTAGGTGCAGAGGTGTAAGTAAGCCGGTCCGGGCCGGTACAGAGTACCAGCAAGAGCCGGTGTGCCAGCTTCCCCAGGCTGGCGATTTAAAGGGCCCAGAGCTCCCTGCAGCAGCCGGAGCCTCAGGCCCTTTAAATCACCTCCTGAGCCCCACTGACGGAGCCCTGGGGCTCCCAGCCACAGCAGGAGTCCCGGGGCCTTTAAATCTTGATTTAAAGGCCCTGCCTCTTCCGATTGAGGCCACGCCCCCGCTCAGGATTCCCGTGTACCGGTAAATCCTTTAAGTTACTTTCACCCCTGGCTAGGTGGGTTCTGGATGTACGGGCTGAGGCTTGGCCAGGGTGTCTGGGTATAGGAGCTCCAGATGCACGGGGGTTGGGTGGATGGGGGAGCACCTCCACATACAGTGACCCCTCCCCCTGCAGTTGATGAGGTATAGGGGCAGGAAGCAGGGGAGGATGCTGAGCTTCCTGCAGCTGGGGGAGGTTTCTGGGAGTGGGTCTGACACAGCCCCAGCCACTCCTTGCTGGGGAAGAGGAAGTCCTGTCCTCTCCTTCCTCCAGCCCAGCCAGGACTAGCAGCTGATCCCGGCTCAGGGTAGGAGTCACTAGCTGGGGTGTCGCAAGCCTGTGGTGATTTACCTCTCTGCCAGCTGCTGTGGGTGCCTGAAACGATGTACCTGCACAGCTAGGGAGTGGTGTGTAACTGCTCTTGCAGCTTCCCTTTGCTTCCCTGTCAGAAAGTCATTTTTCTGCGGGGAAGCAAAGAAATCTGCAGGGGACATGAATTCTGCACACGTGCAATGGTACAGAATTCCCCCAAGTGTAGCACTTTGAGTGCTATAAAAGTGCATTGTCTTATTATGTGAATGTTAAGGCTGAAGAGTTAAACATTCAAGTATCAAGTAATTCCAAAGTCAAGATTGAAGATGACACCTTAATTCTTCCACCTTTGTTTGTTTAAACTACGTAGATTTTGCACTTTTCTTTGGAGCACCTGGTATCAGTCACTGTGAGATGCAACACTAGACTAGGAGAACATTACTTTGTTCTGATATAGCATTTCACATGGCTCCTACCAGACAATGCATATAATGTGGCTCCTGAACAAACTGATCTTGATTGTTAGATAATGGAGTAGAGAGACATGCTGTGAAAAGAGTAGGAAGCACTGAAAGGTCTGGACCTAATGGATGTAACTTCCACATTATCTTCCTAGCTATATGCATGAGAATCTAAGGTGTTAGCAAGCACATCTAGAAGTCTACATACTTGCTCACTTAAGGACCTGTTGAAAATCAGGCCCAGAATTGTAACTGCCAAATGTCCAAGCATAATTAAATGCCCTCACTCCTGTCTCCTAAATGTTATATTTAGCGCTGTCAAGTGATTAAAAAAATTAATTGCAATTAATCATGTGATTAATCGCACTGTTAAACAATAATAGAATACCGTTTACTTAAATATTTTTGGATGTTTTCTACATTGTCAAATATATTGATTTCAATTACAACACAAAATACAAAGTGTACAGTGCTCACTTTATATTTATTTTTATTACAAATATTTGCACTGTAAAAAACAAAAGAAATAGTATTTTTCAATTCACCTAATACCAGTACTGTAGCGCAATCTCTTTATCATGAAAGTTGAACTTACAAATGTAGAATTATGCACACAAAAAATGTAACTGCATTCAAAAACAAAACAATGTAAAACTAGATCCTACAAGTCCACTCAGTCCTATTTTTTGTTCAGCCAAATCACTCAGACAAACAAGTTTGTTTACATGTGCAGGAGATAACGCTGCCCACTTCTTGTTCACAATGTCACCTGAAAGTGAGAACAGGCATTCACATGGCACTGTTGTACCTGGTGTCGCAAGATATTTACGTGCCAGATGCGCTACAAATTCATATGTCCTTTCATGCTTCAACCACCATTCCAGAGGACATGTGTCCATACCAATGACAGGTTCTGCTCGATAATAATCCAAAGCAGTGCGGACCGATGTATGTTCATTTTCATCCTGGGAGTCAGATGCCACCAACAGAAGGTTGATTTTCCTTTTTGGCGGTTCGCGTTCTGTAGTTTCCGCATTGGAGTGTTACTCTTTTAAGACTTCTGAAAGCATGCTCCACACTTCATCCCTCTCAAATTTTGGAAGACACTTCAGATTCTTAACCCTTGGGTCGAAACCTTTGCATTTTGTCAAATCTGCAGTGAAAGTGTTCGAACAACATGTGCTGAGTCATGATCTGAGACTACTATAACATTAAATATATGGCAGACTGCGAGTAAAACAGAGCCAGAGACACACAATTCTCCCGCAAGGAGTTCAGTCACAAATTTAACTAACACATTACTTTTTTTAACGAGCATCATCAGCATGGAACCGAGTCCTCTGGAATAGCGGCTGAAGTATGAAGGGACATATAAATGTTTAGCATATCTGGCGTGTAAATACTTTGTAATGCCAGCTACAAAAGTCCCATGCGAACGCCTGTTCTCTCTGTCTGGTGATACTGTAAATAAGAAGTGGGCAGCATTATCTCCCATAAATGTAGACAAACTTGTTTGTCTTAGTGATTGGCTGAACAAGAAGTAGGACTGAGTGGAGTTGTAGGCTCTAATGTTTTGCATTGTTTTGTTTTTGAGTGAAGTTATGTAACAAAAAAAATCAACATTGGTAAGTTACACTTTCAGGATAAAGAGATTGTGCTGCTGTACTTGTGTGAGGTGAACTGAAAATTACTATTTCTTTTGTTTATTTTTACAGTGCAAATATTTGTAATAAAAATAGTAAGATAATGTGACCAGTGTACACTTTGTATTCTGTGTTGCAATTGAAATCAATATATTTTAAAATGTAGAAAAACATCCAAAAATATTTAATAAAGTTCAATTGGTATTCTATTGTTTAACAGTGCGAATAAAACTGTGATTGTGATTTTTTTATCACAATTACTTTTGAGTTAATTGCCTGAGTTCACTGCCATTAATTGACAGCCTGTTATAGTAACAGATTATAATCACAGCTGGTTTTGAGTTTATCTGCAGCATGTGGTAGGCATCTTTATGTTCCCTACTGTGTGCCAGTCATTCCTAAAATAAAATCTGCTTGTGTGCAAATTGATTGCTTAGTACCTGAGCTATTTTAAATAGTTTATGATTTAATTGGCATAAATGACTTGATTGGGAAAGAGGGGCTCTGCTATGAGATATCCCAAGAGAGAGCCCTGGCTCCTATCAGCGGCCCTTGATCTCCTGTCGTTTTTGTCCTTCTCTTCGTGTGCGAAGGCTGCGTCTTCTTACATAAGAGGTGCTCAGCCACGGTACAGGATCTGCACGAGGGCAGCGTTCAGGGCGAACATTGCAGAGCCTGGGGCCTGCTGCCCACCTGTGCCAGCCGCTCCCTGTACATCAGGGACCAGACCACTCTCCCCAGGGAGCAGCAGCAGAGACCCCACATCCCCGTCAGGCCGGCCCCCCGCCCTTCCTCCAGTCACTGGGTGAGCTCCAGCAGCACCATACCCCCCCCCCCCACCACTCCCAAGCTCCGCCTCCCTACCTACGAGCAGCAGCAGCAGCCGCCGCCGCGGGAGGAGCGCACCATTTCTCGGCCGCGGGGAGGGGGCGGTAGGTGCGTTAGCGTCTCCCAGCCGCCGCTGCCTCGCTTGTCGGGGTCCGTTCCCAAGAGGGGTGGTTGGGCTCGCGCTTCCCCCGTCTCTCCTCTCACACGGGTAGGGTTGAACCAATTCTGTCGTTTCTCCCCCATCCCGAGATTGAGGACTCCGCGTCCCCTCCTGTCTGTGTCAGTTGGTGTGGGCCGGGGTAGCGGGAGGCAGCGCGGCGGTCGCTGTAGGCTGGAGGAAGCGGGCTGCGGGGCCGCGCCAGGTAAGAGGGCGGGAGCGGCCGTTTCGCGCCCCCCCCGAGCGGCTGGTGAGATGGAGGCGGATTTTCTGCCGCGCGCGCGGGGCCTGGGACGGGCGGGGGAGCAGCGCCGGCCTGGGGCAGCCGGAGAGGGGGGCTGTCGAGGGGAGGGCTGCGCGGAGGGGAGCGGGGAGGCGAAGTCGGGGAGGGGGCGCTGCGCAGGGGAAGGGGCCTGCGCGCGAGGGCGGTGGGGGGGGATGCGCGCTTGGGAAGGTGGGCTGCGCGGGGGGGCGGGGGCGCTGCGCGCATTGGAAGGGAGGGGGCAGCCGGGCGGTGGTGGGGAGTGGGGTGGTTTGGCAGGCAGGTCCCTCTAAGCACCCCCGCCGGGCAGCGGGACTGCCCTGAGGGGCGGCAGAGCTCCCTTGACTCGCCGTGTCCACCTCTGCAGCGGGATCTCAGCCGGCGGGGAGCGCCCGTGCCATTCGCCTCAGCCACAGCCGCCACATTTGTCCGAAAACATGAGCCGAGATTTCAAACCGGGAGACTTGATCTTTGCCAAGATGAAAGGTTACCCCCATTGGCCGGCCAGGGTAAGCCCCCCCGCCGCCGCACCCCCCCCCCCATTGCTGCCGCCTCCTCCGCTCACCTGCGCTTTCTCCTGCTGCATTTCCCTGCCTGTTCCTCCATCCTCAGTCCCGTCTATCGCTCCATGGCAGATAAACGTTCGTTCATAGCAGACTGTCTCTTTGGGTGGTGCAGTTTTTGTTTCCCATCTTAAGGGGTGCGTATCTGTAGATGTATAGCACATGAGCAGGTTTCCCTCGTGCAGGGGCGGGCCTGGTGGTGCTGCTGGAAGTAACCCACACACTGTGTTTTACTCTTTGTTTTTTAAGCCTCTCTGCTTGTGACATACACACCGAAATGGCAGCATTTTCATCAGCTCTCATCGGTTTCTCTAGCTTTCTGTGACTTTTTGCCAAAGTCCAATGGGAGATTTTCTGTGATACACCAATTTTTAAATATAGTTTACTGAAAGCGGGTGTTGAAGCAGCAAAAATCTCTCAGTGAACTTCCTACAGCGTCACATTCAGTCACCTAAAACTTTTTCTACATAGCATTTTTTTGGGGGGGTGGAAAGAGTGCAGATATTTACAGATAAAACAAAGTATTCCATTTTTTTACCATTTTAGCATGATCAAGTGGCACTGCATTGTATTAAGTAGGTGACCCTCAAGTTAGATGTTAGTAATGAGGACTATAGTATGGTAGTGTAACAAGTTGTGGGAGTATTCAAGGGTGTGGACAACACAAAGTACTCTTCCCAAATACCTGGGGCCTTATTTGACAAAACATTATTGCTGTGAAGGTATGCGTCCTGCTCTGAAACCTGCAGGAGCAACAGTACCACTAAGTATTCTGTTCATTTTTGAACAGTAAGCCAGTCTGCCTTCTCCAACAGCCTTAATAGAAGCCTTTAAAGTGTTGGAAGTTTTGGATACTGGTGTACTTCAATTGATGGTTTTGAGATTACAGATGAAAGATTAGTGTATAATTTATATTCATGCAGTACTGGATTAAGAATTGTAAAATATTTTTAGTGTCCTATCTATTTCTTAAATGTAATGCGTTGTGCCAGTGCAGGTAATCAGTTCGACAGGGTGAGAAGCATTGCTGTGGTTGTGGAAGAGGTGGCAGTTGGAGGAGCAGATACCGTGTCTAAGGGAGCCAATACTGCTTCTAACCAGTACTTTTTTTTTTAAGCAAACATTAGTTTTGAGGTATATTGACCTTTATTGGACTTTTTTTGTTACATTGGGCAGTGGTTCTCAAACTTTTTTTTTTTGCGGACCACTTGAAAATTCCTAAGTGTCTCAGCGGACCACTTAATGATCTTTCCAAATGTTGTTTGTAGCGTTAGCTAACTATTGTAAAGCGCTTTGGATAAAAGCGTGATATAAAAGCGTGGACCACCTGATGGTATTTTTCAGATTTAATGACAATTTAAAATGTCCCCCCACATTGTTTTTGGTTGTTACTAAATATTTTAATTATCATAATGTAATTTTTTTCCCTTAGGTGGATGAAGTTCCTGATGGAGCAGTGAAACCTCCTACAAATAAAATGCCTATTTTCTTTTTTGGAACACATGAGACGTAAGTTTTTTAGACTAAAGAGCACGTTATTTTCATTGCAGAATATCTTAAAAGTAATTTCACAGCCTACCTGTATGGGAGGCATTCACAAATAATATTCAGAAATAGGCAAACTTTTCCTCACCTAAACTTTATCAGAAGGATAGGCAGCTTAAAAGAAGGCTGCTTGGTCTTCACATCTACCATGAAATACTGAGGGGAGCTCTCGACTGTAACCATTCCATGAGATGTCAGGGAGCTCTTTTCCTAGTCAATAAAAACAAAGGGTTGTTATGACTAGACTGCCCCCTATTCTGTTTTGTTTTCACTATAGCAGGGGTTCTCAAACTTCATTGCAATGTGACCCGCCCTTCTGAAAACAAAAATAACTACAGGACACCAGGAGGGGTAACTGAAGCTTGAGCCCACGCAAGCCCCGCCTCCCCAGGCGGGAGGGCCAAAGTCAAAGTCCAAGGGCTTCAGCCCCAAGCAGGGGACCTGTAACCTGAGTCCTGTCGCCCAGGGCTGAGGCCCGTGGGCTTTGGCCCCGGGTCCCAGCAAGTTTAAGCCAGGCCAGCCCCAGCGTCCCCATTAAAATGGGGTTGTGACCCATTTTGGGATCCCGACCCAAAGTTTGAGAACCGCTGAACTATAGTACTAATTTTGGCCTTGAGCATCGTCCTTTATTTTGTTCTCAAAGAAAAGAAAAGAAAGTTGTAGTTATTAAATTATAGGATCTATATAAACAAAAATGGCAGCAATCCCCACTGACTAGGTTTCCACTTTATACTAATTTAAAAAAAAAAGAACTGTTGTGTGCACATTTGGTTCATGTTGTCCAATTCCTATCACTATCCTATCCTCCCTCACAGATCTCTGCAGGATCAGGTTTGTTTACACTTATTGTATCTTGTCTTAAATTTGATTAAAAGCTCTTCAGGGAAGGGACCAGGTCTTCCTATGTGTGTGAGCTAAGTTCTATACAATGGAGCTCAACCTTTTTTGGTTTGTTTTGGCACTACAGCAATATGAATAAGAATACCACCTGTCTGTTCCTTCCCTCACTGATTAAATGCCATTCTTGATTCCACCACTTGCTGCTTTTTATTAGTATTCCAGAATGCACCTGCATATTGATTTTTAGGGGCATGTAGAGCAGTAAGAAATCTACATGAGCCCACATAAATAACATTCAAAGATCTTGGGCAAAATTTTCAAAAGCTCAAGTTCCATCTTCCAATATGATTTAGGCTCCTAACTTAGGTGCTTTTTTAAAAAGTTACTGCTACAGAATTAAAATATGGTCAACCCTATGTTTGGTAGTGTGGTAAATTCACTGTTACATTATTACAGATTTCTCATAGGCTCTCATACCTTACAGTGTTGCAATGTGCAATATGTTTCCCCGCTCCCCAGCATTTCTCTCCTTCTAACCTTTATTCCTAACCCAGAGTTCTTCATTCCTACTCCTGAACATTTCATTAGCGGCAAGTGCAGAGGGCATTGAATAACCATCAGAAAGAGTAGATCCACCAGTATGGGAGTATACTAATTATGGGGCATGTCAAACAAAAATTAGATTTGAGCTATGTAATCTATACAGCAGTAGGTGGAAAATCAGTGGTTCATCATATAATAGTTGGAGCTAACAATTTTCTGTACATTTTCAATTAAATAATTTTATACACTTTGGCCTTGATTCTGCAGCATGCTGACCCCTGTGCCTATGAAGAACTCCACAAGATACACCTTCACAGTTTTCACAGGACTGCACTAATGTAATATATTGCTCTACATTTTATAAAACTGAAGGCAGTCCACTGCTTTGAAGTTCAAGTCCCCTGCTTTCCAGGCCATCAAGCATTAGCTTTGTCATGCAAAACAATCTTTCTGGAATACATAAGGAGTGATGGTTTTCTGGCTCCAAAGCGCTCTTGTGCATTTCTCTCTGGCCAGGATTGGGGAAGAACCACCACACAAAACCAGAAAAAAACCTCAAACAATTATTTCCTAACTTTTATGTAACATAGTAGTGGTTTGCAGTTTACTAACCATTAGTATGAATTTGCATGATAAATTTCATGCAACTCTAGGTTTGAGTGTCTCCTGGTGTGCAGTGAATGGGAAATGATCGTTGTTAATCTTCTCATCTTTGGATTCCTTCCCGTATAGCAATCCAGTGTAGTACCTTTAGAAGCAAAATAATAAGAAACATATTGATATTCTTAGTTTTTGTTTTGTCCATCTTTGCTGGTGGAAATTTGTTAATATTTTTTTGTTATATTAGTCCAAAAAAACAGATTTTGTGTGTGTGTGTGTGTGTGTGATTAGTCATAGACAAAAGTTTCTGACTTTAAGAAATTCCATAAAATTAACACTTGAAACTTTTTGTGGACCGCATATGTACAGTTGGAGTAGGAAATATATACAGTGGAGTCGCATCTTACGTGGAGGTTAGGTTCTAAAGTCAGCGCGTAAGGCGAAAATCACGTATAGTCAAAATTACCCTTGAAAATCCCTTAAATCGCCCATAAAGTACAGTATACTGTACATGGTTTTGTGTATACAACCCTGTACAGTAATATGTATAATGTATACAGTAATGTAGAGCATATAATAAAGAGTACATAGGCAAAATATGATTTTACAGTACTGTATTTTTAATTACAGGGGGGTATTTACAGGGGGTCGTAAGGGCTTGATGTCGATCCGGGAGACGGAGGCGATGGAGAGCTTGGGTGATGGAGAGTGAGTTCAACTCGAGTTCAATTGGTTCAACTCGAGAATTTGATTGCGTAGGCTCATCTGCTGCTGGTTGTTTTTCCGTGAAAAACATGGTGATCGACAACTATCGCTGTTGTCTCTTGAGCTGCTCAAACATTTCTTGATATGGTCTCAAATCGTCCGTAATACTACGTGTGATTTTGAGGCTTTGTTCCATAGAGGGATCGTATTCAGAAATTAAATAATTCAAGTGTTTCGCTGCTTGGAACACTTCAGCAAATTTATGAAGATTCCAACTTGCTGGCTCTTCCTGTTCGTCATTATCATCTTCATCTTCTGTAGACAATTTTATCAGTTCCTCTAATTCTTCGTTAGTGAATGTTTCTCTGTGGCTGTCAATTAATTCTTCAGTTTCTTCCTCAAGGATGTCGATGAAGCTGTCACCACCCACTTGGCCGGCCACCTGAACAATGCGTTTCACTTCTTTGTCAGTGGTCAGGAAACCCTTAAAATCATTCACACATTCTTCCCATAGGTCTCACCAACATGCATTGACTGTTTCAGGCTTGATTGCATCCATTGCCTGTTTAATATATGTGATACAATTGGCAATGTTGAAGGACTTCCAACACTCCATCACATTAAGATTGGGATCACCATCTATAGTGCTACATATCCGTGAGAACGTAAGCCTCGTGTACGTGGCATTGAAACTGCCTTGGTTGAGAGGATGGAGGTGGTATTGGGGGGGAGAAAGATGACTTCAACGTCATTATGTGCAAACTGGAGTGCCACAGGGTGGCCAGGAGCATTGTCTACGATCAGCAACGCTGCAAAGTCAAGTCCTTTCTCTTCAAGGTACCATTTGACCTCCGGAATGAAAAACTTGTGGAACCAATCCAGAAATAATGCTGCCGTCACCCAAACCTTTTTATTTGATTGCCAGAACACAGGCAGGAGATTTTTGTTCTTGCCTTTTAGAGCACGGGGATTTGCAGTCCTTTAGAGCAAGCCCGGCTTTATTAAATACGCAGCTGCATTACCGCAAAACAACAGTCACACGGTCTTTCGCTGCTTTGAAGCCAGGGGCTTGTCTTTCTGGTTTCAAAGTGTAAGTGCGGTTGGGCATTTTTTTCCAGAAGAGCCCAGTCTCTTCAGCATTAAAAACTTGTTCCGGAAGATCGCCCTTTTCTTCTATGATTTTCTTTAATTGTTCGGGGTAGGCTTTTGCTGCCTGTTCATTGGCAGATGCAGCTTCACCAGTAGTCTGCACGTTTTTGAGGTTAAAGGGGTTCCTAAAACTGTTAAGCCCACCTTGGCTGGCTTTGAATTCCTGCTCATCAGGAGGCAGTCCCTCTTCAGCAGGAGGTTTGAACAACGCATAAGAGCCTTTTCTCGCAACGTGTAGCCATAGATAAGTACACGTTTGCAGATCATGTCTTCCAGCCATAAGTTTAATGCCTTTTCAGTCTGCACTAAAGTCTTATCACGCACCTGGCTTGTCACCTTAGCAGTTACTGGAGCACTTGATGCCACGGCTTGACGAATTTCTCTCTCTTGAATCTTGATGGCACGGATGCTAGATTCGTTGCAGCCATATTTACGCACCATTTTGGAGACTAACATACCATCTCTCAATAAGTCCAACACAGCCAGTTTTTCCTCCAGCATTGGAACAGATCACTGTTTCTTCGGTTGAGCACCAGATGAAGTAGTTGGCTTGCGTTTAGGAACCATGTATGAAAAATACGTACAGTATCTTTAAACACTAGAATCACACTCAGCGCGGCGAGTTGCTCACACTATGAGAGGCACGCGGGAACTGAGACCGACTGAGGGAACAGCAGATTTACGTCTCCCATCTCACGCTCACTCCAGGGCATACACTCGTTGAGTGGAATGGTGGGCGGAATAGCCTGCACTATTTACAGGTATCTTGTTACTTTTCTTTTTTTTGCCGAGCGTGTGTAGTTGAATTCGCATAAGTTAAATGCGCGTATGATGTGCCCACGGTTGGAATACTGTGTCCAGTTCTGGTGCCCACGATTCAAAGAGGATGCTGATAAATTGGAGGGATTCAGAGAAAAGCTATGAGAATAATTTAAAGGATTAGAAAATGTGCCTTATCGTGATTGAGCTCCTTGACTGTATCTACTTTGGTTTAATAAAGAGATCGTTAAGGGGTGACTTGATTAATCTATAAGTATCTACATTGGGGAAAATATTTAATAATGGCTCTTCAGTCTACCAGAGAAAGGTATAATGATCCAATGGCTAGAAGTTGAAACTAGACAAATTCAGGTTGGAAATAAGGTGTAAATTTTTAACAGAATAATTAACCATTGGAACAATTTACAAGGATCGTGTTGGATTCTCCATCACTTCCAATTTTTAAATCAAGATTGGATATTCTAAAAGATATGCTGTAGGAATTACTTTGAAGTTCTATGGTCTGTGTTGAACAAGCAGTCAGACTAGAAGATCACAGTTGTCCCTTCTGGCTTTGGAATCTATGAATGTAAAAGTCGCCGAAATGATCTGTAACTCTTCTCCTTTTGTTACCTACATGAATAGGACATCCATGTCAAAGAGATCTTGTTATAGATGGTGGAAAAGAGAGAAAGTGGAGCTTATTGGAATTTATGTATTGAACCTTGGCATGAACCACTGCTTCATAAAACAAGGCGATACCTTTTTTTTTTTTTTTTTAATGATTTGGTCTTGGGCTTATACTTTGAACTGAGCTGATTGCAGGCACAGGTTTGAACATGAGAAAATACCACTGAGTTCTCAAATTGTGCAATTACCAACAAATGCATTGGCACGATGAAATTCTAACATGGAAACATAGGGAGACATTTACTGTGTCTTAGTGTTCTGCAATGTCAAATGAAAACTAGTACTGAGTATTTATTTTTAAATCTTGTTCTCCCAGGTACTGCATAGAAAAAGGAACACTGTAGATACTATGATTTTGATGTAACGGGAAAGGTGCTAAAAGGAAAAGGAGATGTAGTTGTGCATCTGAAGCACTAATAATGCCCTTTATATTTGATGTCTACCTCTGAAGAGGCCACTTCTAATGCCCTTTGTATTTGCTGGTTAACTCCGAGGGGGCCAGTTCTTAGAGATGACAAAAAGCTACATGACTGAAAAAATATTTTAAAACAACAAATACTGAGAGGTAGATAGTGAGGAAATACTGATTTGTTTTGGTCTCACTTTAATTTTTTTGCTGGAAAGAAGCAGTTCAACATTCAGCTGCTGACTAAGGAAATCACTATTGGTTCTGGTAAAATCTGAGTAAGTATTTCTGGACATAGTAGAAAAGTTTACTGACTGGACGGAATATGAGTACATCAGTTAACTTGTATCTTTTTATAGCCCCATACTCTGACTTGTCTGAGCTACTATCATTTAAAAGTAAAAAAGCTTTTCATCCTTCTTAAAAGCATAATGATCTTGCAACCTGGTTTTTCATTTTGATTTTCCTAGATAAGCTTCCTGTTCTGCAGATGTATTATGCACTAAAGGCAGAGGTGTTGAGAACATACTTTCTTTACGCATTTTAAGTTAGCACAAATTAAAATCTCTTTCTTTGCCTGTATGTACTGAAAGAGGGTTATACTAGTGCAAAATGCACACACAGTGGAAATTATATATGGACTGTCTGTGTAATATAATTAAGACAACTACAACAGAATACACTGAAAGCAGTATGGTGTATCTTATATATCATGAGTCTTTAATTACATTTTTTTTTTACAGCAGAAACTTCTTGTTGCAAGATAGTTTCTTTAGCCTGAAGCCATAATCTCCTGTACTATCTCAAGACATTTTCAAGATTTAAGGACTCTTCCCTTTATTTCCTTTTGTATTCTTTCTTATTCTTTACTTCCTTACTTCTTCCATCACTTCAGATGCTTAAGTACTGAGTTGGGTTTCAACCAATCGCGTCTCCTTCTCCCTCTTTCTCATATATGACAGTATTAAGAATTTAAAATGAATTGTTGGCGTAGAAAAATGTACCTGTTAATTTTTCCTTTTTCACTTCTTACAGGGCATTTTTGGGACCAAAGGACATATTCCCATATTCTGAAAATAAAGATAAATACGGTAAACCAAATAAAAGAAAAGGCTTTAATGAAGGATTATGGGAAATTGACAACAACCCCAAAGTAAAATTCTCTCATCAACAGGTAAGTGATCTTTGTACGTATTGCTTACAAACTTGTAAGCATTATTGATGTTCTAATCTAATCTGGTCAAATACCTTGCATTGTCCTGCTGTTGTGAAAAAGTAGAGTGATAGCTCAGATGACATAGATGGCTCAGTTTCATTCAATTGCAGGTCAGACGGACAGTAATGTTATAGTTTAGAATTGGTCTTAAGGTTTTCAGTAATAGGTAGGAGTGAGGAAATTTTTTGGTATGATCAGTGATTTCTGTTTACTATGGTAAACTTTAGAAGACTTGGTAATGGTTTCATGGGTATTATAAAAATCATTGTTTTCACAAGTTTTCTAGTGATTGTTATCAGGGTAATGTTGCAGGTCTCAGCTTTTAAATTTATTAATTTTTAAGAATTAAGCTTCATGGTATCTTCAGTGATCTGATGGAAACTTAGCTTACTGCCCTTCTTTCCATTTACATAAGTCAGTTTGTATGTCCAAGCACTTTTGATCTACAGATATTATCTTAACATTTCAACAAGTGATCTCTTGGCACAAATTTTCCTTTACCTTATTATCTTGTGTTGTCCTCCTGCTCCAGTGGCTGGGAGCAATATGGCATCTCCCACTTATCCCTGCCTCTCTCTTCCAAAAGCCATCACATAAGCCTACTGATATAGTCCCTTGTATGTATCAGAGATTCCTCATCTCTTGGCCTCCTGTACAAACTTCTGCTGTCCAAATTGTGACAAGGCTGGGATTGGAAGCCGATACAGGGTTAGTTTATATCCAAGTATATCACTTGTAAGCTGTGAGGAGCAGGCACCATCTTCTGTCTGTGTGGACAGTGCCTAGGACAATGAAGCCTGAGCCATAATTGGAACCCTTAGGTACTATTGTGAAACAATTTTCAAACAAGCAAGCAGGGAAGCACTAGCTTGCCACTTCCTACATCAGGAAGCCCTGCACATGTGGGAGTGGGCTCTGCCCCACAAGACATCTCTTGATTGTATATGTCTGGCAAGGAAGAGGAACATGACTGAAGATAGGTTGGGAGTCTGGCCTTTGATAGTGCCAAACCAGGAACTCTTCCTGACATGGTCTTCTGACCAGAGGTGTGGTGACTTTGAGAAAATGTTCCACCTGCTTAGCATCTCAGAAAACCTTCCTGAAAGGCCTACAATTCCAAATGGAAAGACCTGAAGTTTAGTGTAGTCGGGACATATGGACTCCTTTACTTGCCCTGTACGAAACTTGCTGAATGCATCTTCCTGCATATGTCTTAAAGACTTAGTGCATCAGGGTACGTTTTAATAGCTGTTTTAGCTTTCATGAACTGGTCCAAGGCCAACCACTGTCTTTGTAGGCCTTTGCCATCTGTATTACATGGGACTAGATACCCTTAAATCACTCCTTCCCACTCCCACAAAATTAGGTAATTGAAAAGCCCTTTTTAACATGGGATATTGTGATGCTTCCTGGAGGTACCCAGGTTGTGAGGCACCTCACTACCACCTCCTCTTAATGTGAAGAAGCCTTGTCTATGCCTGACATGGGTCAGTCCCTGACTCCACTATTCATGAAACACAAGCACTTCCCTCAGTCTGCGCAGGCTCCGCTCTCCTTCTGTAGGCTAGCAATAGTAACACTCCAGCCTCTGAGCATCTACTTGAGCGTCCAGCCCCGTTCCATTGGACACTCCCAATATTCACAGATCCACTGTTCCCAAAGAAGTTGTACACTCCAGCTTACTAGATTAGCCTCTGATCACTGCTCCATTTAATACACAGCACTTAGATGTGTTTGATATAGTAAAAACAAAAATTGTTTTTGTTTTATTTTTTAAAAATGAGGGGAGATTCAAATGATAGTAAATAGAAATATAGGGAACAAATGGTTACATATACAATAAAATCATAATATGCATTCTAGTACTTAAACTTTAATAATTTCATGTCTTATAAAGCAAAGTTCATCCCACAGAACTTCCAGCATCTTTCAGCCAGGCCTGGCTGTGATCCTTGTTTCCTTAGACGAAACACACTGCCAGCTTGTCCCCTATATAAAAAATACTGTGTCTCTCTTTGCAACTTCTGATAGATCAAGGGACTATTTTGATATATCTTCATAAACTGGACAGCCTCCTGCTGTGTATTCCTTCCTGTAGATTTTGCAGTCTTGTGTTTGATTTCACATTTCCATTGTAGACATTTACAAAGCAACCATGTTGTCCTTCACATTTTCACAAAGCACTCTTGCTTGGATTCAACCTCCAGGAGGGAATTCTGTGTTGATCTCTCCATACTCCAGAACTCATTTGCAAGATGGAGGAGACTGGATTCTTTCACTCTACAAAAAGAGCGGTTTTTTAACTTCAGTATGTGCTCATTGTTTGCTGATCAGTTTCTGCATGTTGTTGTTTCTCTGGTTCTGGGCTCATTCAGCTGGATGACGTGCTGTGCACGATGAGCCTACAGAGGTACCTTGGATCTGTTTATATATGCTTCTCTGCTAACACTTGGTATTGGCTTAGTTGCACCACATTGCAGCAGTTATCCCTTTTGAGGATGTTCCTCTAGCTCAGCGGTTCTTAAAATTCATTGCACTGCGACCCCTTTTTGATAACAAAAAATACTACAGGACCCCATGTGGGGCTGAAGCCAAAGCCCGAGCCCCATCACCTGGGCCTGAAGCCAAAGCCTGAGCCCAGCTGCTCAAGGCTGAAGCCCTCAGGCTTTAGCTTCAGCCCCAGACTTGGGCCCTAGCGAGTCTAAAGCCTGCCCTGGTGACCCCATTAAAATGGGATTGTGTCCCACTTTGGGGTCACAACCCACAGTTTGAGCATCGCTGCTCTAGATTACTCTAAAAGAGTGAAAATCCTGTGCAGATGGTATCTTTAGTAAAGAAAAAGCCGTTACCCTGTAATCCTGATTCTCTGAGATCATCTGATTGGATACTCATTTGGCCATTTACCCATGCAAAATTCATCTTTTATTTTCATTTGTGTTGTGGTAGCACCTAGGAGAGCAGTTAAGGACTAGGGCCCCATTCTGCTACAAGCACATAATACAAACATCTACAATCTGAGATAATTGACAATAGATAGATACATACTAATGGGGGAGTACAAAGCTGGAAGTCAGTGGTTTCAGCACACCAACTGCCTAATGTTAAGGGTTTTTTTGTAGGCATCTTGGCAGAAGAGAATTTTAGGGAGGGAATTGAAAGGGAATTATTAGGTGGCTTTGCTGATGTTTATGTAGTGCCCTTCCCATGCTTTAGGAGAGAGACAGGAGAAAGCATGAAAGTGCTTGTTTGAAAATTTTACAAGTGGGTGTTGAAGGCTGGAAACAGAGGTGGGTGGTGAGCTCTCAATAGCTTATGAGCGATGATATTCAGGGTGCGGATTGGCAGTGAAGGGCCTTGAAATGAAGACGCACGTAGTTTGTATTTGAGATAATGGGGAGCCAGTGGAGAGATGCAAAGAGAGGTGATATGGTGAAAATGATTCTGAAGTGGGGTAAGACTGCATTTGTCAAGGCTAGAGATGATATTGCCATAGTCAAGATGTGAGGAAATGAGGGAGTGAATGAGAGTTTTAGCTGTATGGATGGAGAGGAAGGATCTTAAAAGACGTTAACCAGGAAAAATCAGCAAGTTTTAGATATGGCCTGGATGTGAGGATCTAGAGGGCCAAGTCAAAAATGACACCCAGGTTACAGGTCTAAGACAGGGAGATTGTTGGTTGTCGTGGTGTCCACTCTTACTAACAAGGTGTGGGAAAGGGTTAGGCATGGAGGACGGGGGTATTAAGTACTCTGCTTTGGTCATGGTGAGCTTAAGATGACAGACATCCAGAAAGAGATATCCGAAAGACTGAGATTTTAGTTTGGAGAGATGAGTACAGAGTAACAAAGCTGATCTGTGAGTTGTCGTCACAGAGATGATAGCTGAATTTATTTGTTGTTCAGAGAGGTCTCTGTCCTTTTACCTGAGGTACATTTTTTTTCCCCCTTGATTAGCTTTTTTTCCCCTGGAAGCTTCACTTTGTGCTGTACTAAACGGCAGAAAACTTAATGCAGAGTTCAAGTTGCCAGGTGATAGCTTCTTATCCTTCCAGAATATCAAGTTCAGCAAAACTCAGACTTCTTAAAACAAGGAAATAGAGTTAAGGTAAATGCCTGTGGAACCTTAATTCTGTCCCCCAGTAGCCACTGGAGCAGCATGCATTCCAGCTGTTTTCACTGTTAAGTTTAACTGTGCTGAATGGTGGTGGAATAACTTGGAATAGCTTGAAAAAGCTGTGATTGTGATAGGAGGAGATCTGCATTGGATTCTCCCCATGTGTTTATCAAAGGAAAGAGAGAGATGCACCTTGAGATTCCAGTCTCCATCATTTCAAGACAGAATTGTGTAGATTGTGTCAGTAGCAGGGCACTGAGATCTTCTTGCCATGGGTATTGTCAGTAGTGATATGTGGATTTAATGATGAATAGGAGAAAGTATAGGGTTAGGTAGCATCCTGTGGGCAAGTGTGAAGGGGCCGTAAAAAGGTATGAAATTGTTAAATTTTACAAAGGTGGTATTCTGTCAAGGGAGTGGACTCGGTGTTTGAGTGTAGGGCAAGTGAAGTAATTCCTGTCCATTATAGTAAAAAGGCAGAGTGCAAGAATGTATGTTGTATGGACCTTTATTTGATCTCTGTATTTCCTGATTTTCAGAGGTTTGAATTTTGCTGTACTTGATGCTCTGGAAGGGCGCAAACTATCGCTAGGCAACTGTAATTCTGCATTAATCAAGTTTTTTGCCTCATAATTTCCTAGGTTTTTTTTAAAACAGAAAAATATTTTAGTTTATAAACATTTATTATTTAGTTTATAAATATTTAGTTTAAATGTTTAGTGGTCATTTAGGCAATTCTAAGTTTGTAACTGTTGTGCTCCCATGGCTAGGTAATGATCAAAAGATCTAGCTTTTATATAGTGCTTTTCATTAGTAGATCTCAAAAAGTTTTGCATTATCCCCCT